GGGCCTGTGCAAGTGACGTGAGCAATCACTAGGGGTGTGCGTGCGAATCCCCATTCAGCGCACCTGAAGAGAGGCAAAGGGAGGCCAAAGGAACCCAGATGGCCCCAAATTAGAGTGGCTGCCAACTCTCCAGGTGGCGCCCAAAGATTGAGATAGGATGATTCCCGGGTTGGGGAATCATCCAGAGGGGTCCCACGTATGCTACCTCTAGGAAGGTGGCAGCAAGGAAGTAAGATAGCTCCACCCCCACCGGGCAGGGGCAGGCAGGCAAAAACATCCCGAGCCACACAGCGGCTGGCTTGTGGGTCTCCCCGCCCCGTTCCCAGCAATGCAGGAGATTCACACAGAGACGTCTCCCTTACAACCCCAGAGGCCCCTCCTCCATGACCAGAAGCGCTATTTGCCTAGCCTGCTTTGGAAATCCAGAGGTGGGGTGCCCAGAGGCTGAAAAGGAGTTGGGAACTTGGGAGTCGGGCTTGGTCCCCTGTTCAGGGCAGGGGACAGCAGCAGAACCTGTGCACTGCACGCCCCTCCCCCAACCACACCCAGCCCGCCTGCTCAATGGCCAGGAGAGACTATAAGGAGAGATGACTACTAGTCCGCTCCGCTTTGGAAATCCAAGGGGGACCCCTCTGGATGATTCCCCAACCCGGGAATCATCCTATCTCAATCTTTTTTCGGGATTCCCGAATTTTTTCGGGATTCGGACAAGTGCATAAATTGCTAATTCGGGATCCCAAAAGCCGAAAAACGTTATTTTCGGCTTTTTTTTCGGCTCAGGATCCCGAAATGCACATCCCTAGTTTGGTGTACCGGTTAGGAGCGCAGACTCTAATCTGGGAGAAGCGGGTTTGATTCCCCACTCCTCCGTGTGCAGCTGCTGGCATGACCTTGGGTCGGTCACAAGTTCTCTTGGAGCTGTTCTCTCACGAGCAGTTCTCAAAAGAGCTCTCTCTGCCCCACTGACCCCACAGGGTGTCTGTTGTGGGGAGGGGAAGAGAAAGGAGATTGTAAGCCGCTCTGAGACTCCTTCGGGTAGTGAAGGGCAGGGTATAAATCCAGTCTCTTCTCTTCCTTTTCTTCTTCTCTGGGTGACCTGCAAAGAGTGTGGCTTCCCTGCTGCTTCGGTCAGGCTCTGCTGAGTGGCAGAACGTGCCCTTTGCAAGCCCAAGGTTCCAGGCTGGCTCCTTGGCATCTCTGGCAGGAGGCCTGGCATCTGTTGGAGACCTTGGAGAGCTCAGAATAGAAAAACGGCATCCTCTAAGCGGGCAGTGTTTAGAAAGGGGAAGGGAATAGCCGGCCTTCCCTTGTAAGACTCCATAAAGACATGAACAGGAAAACTCCCCCCCCCCTTTTCCAACTTTCTCTCAGCTGCACTCAATGTTCTGTGTCTCCGACAGCCTGCTCCGTTTTCACTGGGTTGTTTTTAAGAGCCAGTTTGGTGTGGTGGTTTTTGAGAGCCAGTTTGGTGTAGTGGTTAAGTGCGCGGACTCTGATCTGGGAGAACCGGGTTTGATTCCCCACTCCTCCACGTGCACCTGCTGATGTGACCTTGGGTCAGTCACAAGCTCTGGCACAGCTGTCCTTGAAAAAGAGCCGTTTGTGTCAGAGTTCTCTCAGCCCCACCCACCTCACAGGGTGTCTGTTGTGGGGAATGGGAGGGAAAGGAGTTTGTAAGCCGCTCTGAGACTCCTTTGGGTAGTGAAGCGCGGGGTATAAATCCAATCTCTTCTTCTTCTCTTATCTTCTTTAAGGATTGTGTTGCTTTTTGGTTAATTTACAAAGTCATGTTTTTTACAGGTTTGCTTGGGGGAGTCCTCAGATATGTGGCAACTCTGCCCTCCTCTACGGATGGCCCGTTTTTCCTGCTGTCTTAACACGAGGACAGCTTACATTTTATTTATATTTCTACACTGCCTCTTCCTAAGAGGGCTTTGGGGCAGCTTACAATAAGAATAGCAAACAGCATCTATAATTAACTAAATAAATAATAAACTGAATCGTTCAAATGTTTTTATATGGATTTTAATGGTTACTTGTGTACCAACCAGTGTAAGCCACCCTGAGCCTGTTTCCAGGGAGGGTGGGGCACAAATTAAATAAATAGTAATAATAATAAGACAGTAAGATCATGGAATCATAGAGTTGGAAGGGACCCCCAGTCCAACCCCCTGCACAGTGCAGGGAATTCACAAATACTCCCCCCCCCACAAAAAACCACAGTGACCTGTGTTCCCTCTAAGCTGAGTTAGTGTGAGCCAGCTCACAGTTTTTTAGCCTCTGGCTCACACATTTTTGTCTCAGCTCAGGAGGGAGGGCTCCAGAGCAAACTAATTTAGGCAGCAGCCAAATCACTTGCTCACAACTTTAACGTCAGTAGCTCACAAAGTAGAAGTTTTGCTCACAAGACTCCACAGCTTAGAGGGAACATTGCCAGTGGATCCTGCTCCATGCCCAGAAGATGGCCAAAAAAAAACAAACCCTCCAGGATCCCTGGCCCAAACTGGCCTGGAGAAAAATTGCTTCTTGACCCTACTAGTATAGTAATAATGTAGTGGGCCAGAGCTTCTTGGATGCCATCTTATTTGTGCATGTTCATCTCTTATTTCTTAGGCAGGGAAGTTCGACATCATTCCTACAATGATTAACATTGGATCGGGCTTAGCCCTGTTTGGTGTGGTAAGTGCTCTCTTCTGTCTTATGTGGGGCTGTGGCTACTGCGGGGTCCCCAGCACTGGCTGCCGTGTTGCCCACCAAGCGCTTTTAGACAGTGGGAGGGTTAAGTGGGGCGTTTGCCCAGTAAGGGAGGTACCTGCAGCAGCCATTTTGTGGATGACTACGCCTTCTGTAGCAGCATTTTCTGGCAGCCATTTTGTGGCTATGACCACCACCACTGTGTCATATGTCCAAAGGTATCTGCAGGCTCAAAAATGTTGGGAGGCCCTGGCCTAGAGTGTCAGATGATGACCACGGAGGTTTAACACACACACGCTTCCCATCATTAGGTTCCCTGGGTGATTTTGGGTCTAAATAGATGAGATTTTAAAAAAATTTCCCTTTCATTTTTGACTAGGCAACGGTTCTCTGTGACGTCATTGTCCTGTATTTCATGAAGAAAAGGTATTACTACCGAGAGAAGAAATATAAATATGTGGAAGACTATGAGTTGGTAAGTGTGACACTTGCATTTTCTGCATGGAGCTTCTCTTTGTAATGTTGGTTTTACTGCTCCAAAAGCCACTTAGAAGCTCTTCTTTGGGACATCTTTCTTGTGTTTGTGTGTGTGTTGGGGTTCTGCAGAAGCTTTAAGGATAGCTTACAAACTTGTGGTTGGCATGTTTTCCCATCACCTCAAAGGTGACCTAGTAACTGTTGTTCTGTCAGGGAGTCTAGGATTGCCCACAGAAATATCGACACTATCATGAAACTTGGATTCTTAAACTTCCTTGTGTGAGATCTTGCCACAAATAAAGAAAGTTCATAACTACAGGGTTCATACCCTGGCTAAAAAGGCTCTTGTCGGGTAAATATAATGCTTATATAGCAGGTTTCTCGAACTCACAAAGCTGAGGGAAGGCAGCACCTAGTGTTCCTGAGGCATAAACGCGGCCTCTTCAGACAGACCTTTTTCTCCTCTCTTGGTAGTCCTGAAGGAAGAGTTACGGAGCCTCTGTTGAAGATTTGGTCCACCACTTCCCAAAATGGCCTTCCAATAAAACTATTCCCTGACCAGAGATTAAAAGATTCCCACCAGTGTCTGAAAATCCCACAGCAATTAGGCTGTGTCCAGTCCTAGTTTAAAGGGAAAGCAAGAAGACCTTCTATGAGGTGTTGCTGTTCGGTTTATTCTTGTGTGTAAACCATAAATAAAGAAGGGATTGGATTTATACCCCGCCCTTCACGCGGGAGTCTCAGAGTGGCTTACAATCTCCTTTCCTTCCTCTCCCCACAACAGACACCCTGTGAGGTAGGTGGGGCTGAGAGAGCTCTGACAGAAACTGCTCTTGAGAGAACAGCTCTGAGAGAACTATGACTGACCCCATGTCACCCAGTTGGCTGCATGTGGAAGAGTGGGGAATCAAACCTGGTTCTCCAGATTAGAGATTGCTGCTCTTAGCCACTACACCAAACTGGCTCTCAGATGCCTCATATGGCCAAACGTTTGGAGCCAAACAGTAGGAATCATTCATGGTTGCAAATCTGTACTTAAGTGTTTTCTGAAAGCGCATGCCTGCAAGACCTACCATCCAAACTATTTAATGTCTCCAATTGGAGCTAAATCTATCATGCTCTGCAAAGTAGCTCCTTATTGGGGGGGGGGGTATGTAAGTGGGTCAGTTTGGGTTTGATGTTATAATTTGTTTTGTAAGGCACAGAAAGGGCAAGTGATGTTCTTAAACTAAAGCCAAAGTATGTTGACTGCAGCATTTTGTGGGTTGTTTTGTTTGCAAGCAGAATGCTACTTGACTTAATGAAAAAAACCAAAAGCCACGTTATAGGAACACGGGGCACATTGACCTAGGAACCCTACTTACGCGAGCCTTCAGTCAAAGTGAAGCTGGCTTATAGAACCAAGTGCGAAGGATCATTAGGAAATATTTAGTAGAGGGTTTTCTTGTGTTGTTTCCACTTCTCTCTTTCTTTCCAAGGGAGCCGGTGAATCTTACGGATCCCAGGCAGAGAACCAGCAGTGCCGTGATGTCAGATGACCGCTCCAAAATGGCCGCTGTCGACAGTCCTCTTCATTTCACATACACAGACTGTGAAGGAGAGGCCAGCGCTGGACTGTTCTTTCTTGGGAAATGGGATTGAGCGCCTGCCCTTTCCAAATGGAGGCGGGGGGGAAAGATATTCACTTAAATGGGCCGCGTATTGCTGTCAGGACACCCTGCCAAAGACCCACTGGAGTAAGGGAACGTGAAAACGATGGCATATTTGGCGAATACCTGCTAACGCTTTCTGTGAAAGTGGTCTCTTGTAATTCTGTGGGCCCTCTAACTGGTCGTCTCAAAGGGGCAGGGCAAGCTGTGTCTTCCCCAGCCTGAAACAGTGCCTTTGTGTGTCCAGAAAATATCCCCAGGAGTTTCCGCCCCTTCTAGGGAGTCCTACTTCATCTCTGCCGCACCAGATCCCTGAACCCCAGTTGATTCCCCCCCCCCGCCATTTTGGTTGTAAGTTCTGCCTACTTTCCCAGCTAGGCAACGAAAGGGTGCAGACAGGCGATGCCGCTCCAAGGATTGTGACTGTTCTGTCTCAGGAGCACTGTGGACGTGAAATCCGGGAAAGGTTCCAGGTGAATTCCTAAACGTCAGTTCCCAGCAATTTAAAAGGATAGCAAACAAGCCACGATGTTTGAACTAGATTAACGTGAAGGCATATTTGAGGCGCCAGGGCCTCTCTCTCTGCTCCTCCCATTCCTCTTTTGGGGGCCTCCAGAATACAGTTTTAACCCTCTTAAGGTTTGAAAGAATGTATAGATGTACCTGCACTTTATTTTGGGGGGGGGGAGGACTACAGAAGCCGAAAAAAACTACTGAATGTCCATGGAAGAGCGAAACCTATTTATTTTGCAGAGGAAATAAATTTTTGGAAACGCAGCTTCTGATCCCGGTCTGCCCTGCTTTTTCCTCATATATGGCGGAAGTCCAGTTAATCTCGATTACAGAGTGTGAATGTGGTTTCACTTTCTTCTGTTGTATGTGCTCTTAGGGGACAATGCGAGAGGACCCGTTTATAGCCTAGGTGATGTTAAGGGAAGGGGTAGTGCTCTGCTAGACGCCCCTCCCTAAGATAGCGTCTCAAGGAGAATACGTTTGTTTTTAATATGGGAGATCAGTCTGAGGAGGTACGGGCCAGGAAAAGTTTCGTCACTTCATTCTGGATGTTTCTATTAACACTCCTTTTAAGATGGACTAGCCACTTGGCTCAGAGGGTAAGACGCTGAGCTGCAGACCGGAAGGTCGGTAGTTCGAGACCCGAGTGCCGCGTGACGGAGTAAGCTCCCGTCTCTGGCCCCAGCTCCTGCCAACCTAGCAGTTCAAAAGCAAGACATTGCAAGTAAATAAATAGGTACCACTTTGGTGGGGAAGGTAACAGCGTTCCGTGCGCCTTGGCGTTTAGTCAGGTTGGCCACATGACCACGGAAACTTCTTCAGACAGCGCTGGCTCTTTGGCTTGGAAATGGAGATGAGTGCTGCACCCCTAGAGTCAGAATCGACTGGCTTTCGAGTAAGGGAAACCTTTATCTTTACCCTTTAGCCACTTGGCACATCAGGGCTGATTTGTTGATCATTAATAACATCCCAGATATGGCCCAGGTTTTGAGCCTGACTCAGAGTCTGAGAGCTCCACAGAGAATCTAACACAGGGGGGGTCCCCAACATTTTTGAGCCTTCAGGGACACTTGGAATTCTGACAGTATGGTGGGCGCAGCAGCCAAACGGCTGCCACAGGATGTGGAGACGGCCAAAAAAACGATTGCCACAGCTTAACTTCAGTAGCACACCACAGATCCTTGGGCTCTGGTGGCTGCTGCTGTGAAAGGAACATTTTTTAAAAAAAAATTGCACAGCCAATGGGAAGGCTGGCTAGGCAAGGGCCCTACCTGGCCCCACCAATTTCCCAAAAGCAGCTGGCAGGCCCCATATTGCAGACCCCCAATCTAATTCATGCAGATTTAACACCGTAAAAAAAACCCCTTGCGTTAGAACTGACCACGACCCATTTTGGTGTGTACACAGAAACCACTCTGCAAAGAAAGGCAGCCTATTTCCCCATTGCATTTAGACATCTGATAAAAGGAGAACGGACAGCACAAAGGATTTAGGGTAAAGTACAAGCGCCAGTTTGGTGTAGTGGTTAAGTGTGCGGACTCTAATCTGGGAGAACCGGGTTTGATTCCCCACACCTCCACTCGCACCTGCTGGATGACCTTGGGCAAGCCGTAACTCTGGCACAGCTGTTCTTGAAAAAGAGCAGTTCCTGTCAGAGCTCTCAGCCCCACCTACCTCATAGGGTGTCTGTTGTGGGAAGGAAAGGAGTTTGTAAGCCCCTCTGAGACTCCTTCAGGTAGTGAAGGGCAGGGTATAAATCCAATCTCCTCCTCAGCTTGAAAAAGAGCAGTTTCTGTCAAGAGCTCTCAGCCCCGCCTACCTCACAGGGTGTTTGTTGTGGGGAGGGGTAGAAATCCAATCTCTTCTTCTTGGTTGTTTGTCGCTGATGGTAAAACCAGCAGTATCCTACGGTTTGTGTGTGTGGGGGGGAAACTACCACTGGCCTGGCTGCTGTTTCAGTAGCTGAGTTCAGTCACAAAAGACACATTTAGAAGTCCAGCATTCCTGATTACAAATGCATAAAGGGGTACTTAGAGCCATAATGGAATATGGTTTTGGAATTCACAAAAAAAACACCCCGCTTTAAACATCTTAAAAAGGAGTAATGTTTATTTCCAGAGGGCTTGGGGGCAGATTGCTCACTAAAAACCATATGACCCCCTCAACACAGTTACAATGATTAAAACACATTCATTTTTGTTCTAACCTTTTGCCATTCATCCAAATTGCTCTAAACACTGAAAGCTGGTTAATTTCTGTTTTTGTGATGGAGTGGGCAAAAAGACAGAAATAAAGCCGTTCTCTTAATGCCCCAAATGTATTTTAACTGTATTCCGGTCTATGACTTAATTTGCAAAAAACAAACAAACCAAAAAGTGCTAGAGCTGAACTGGTTGGTTATTTCTTTGTGCATTTAAATGTGCATTTAAACAAGAGTGTGAGTTTTTAATATTCTCCCCTCAATTAGTCTACCACAGGGCTCTCAAAGGAGTCTCTGTGTGTTTTCCTTCCACAGTTGTTAAGACACCCAAGAGAGAATTGCTGCTTAAAAATTTACATCTCGCTGACATCAAAGGCAATTCCGCCTCGGTCTCTACTAAATGCTTCCGGTTGTACCATGGCACAAAAGGAACAGGAAAAGGGATCCTTATACTGTATAAGTAGGGCTGTCGGAGCTATACCACACGGCACAGTCTTCCCATGACTGTACCGGTTCAGAAAAAAGCAAGAGTCTGGAAGCACCTTAAAGACAACAAAATCTGTCGCATGGCAGTAACTCACAAATGCTCCTATTCTGCCACAAATTTTGTTAGTTTTTAAGGTGCTCCTGGACTCTTGCTCTTTTCTACTGCTACAGATAGATGAACATGGCTACCCATCTTGATTCTGTACCAGTTTGGAATGGGTGAACGAGGGTAGCAGATTGCATAACACAAGTTTCCCCTGGGGTACGCTCTGCCCATGCTAGAAATCTAGTATGGCAAAAGAAAAGATTCCCAGATATACTTTTGGGAGCTGGGATTTTTCCCCCTTTTAAACATGGGGAACCGATTCAAATACTGCTCCCCCTATTGTCACAGCAAAATCAGTCCAGCAAACATCCCCCCCCCAAATCTCTGAATAAGGATATGAAGAAGTTTATATATGAAGTTTGGCATTTTATCTCCTGATCCCAGATAACTGATTGAGAGAGTATTCAGCTAGCAGTTATGAGGATGCAAGACTACATCGACCTTGGTACAGTTCGAAAAGAAATGCGGCTTTAGGATTAAAAAAAAGCCTGAAAGCAGCTAATTCTGCGTACGAGCTGATCTGAATATCGACAGGCAGCAAAATCTATATGTCATTACACTAAAGTCCCTTGTAGCAAAAACTGCAGGAGCTGGGCGTTGGTTATTATTCAAAATGTATTAAATTGTGTAACGCGGCAGGAAGTGTTGGATTGTTTGTTGTAAAAACCCTGAATTTTGGACATACCCCTATAGACACTGATCAAGTAAGGTTTCCAGCAGTACAGTTTGTCCTCAGCTGGACAGAATTTAATTTCTAGCCAGCTCTGTGCCCATCTCACTTTGTGCTTAGAGTACAATCACATCGAAGTCCAGCACGCCGAGGATTCTGGTAGTTTCAAGCCCTTTTGGCGGGGAGGGGAAAAAAAAGACATTGCACATCTGGAATGGTCAGAATCCAGCAAGCCACACTGATAGTATGATCGCGACAAAGGGCAGGTCGGGCACTCAGCGGAACCAAGCCCTGCTGCTGTCAAAGTCGTAAAGGATCGGCACATCGAAGGCAAAGGCCTTTTTAAAGGAAAAAATGCCCTTGATGGAGAACTACTTGTTTGTGTGTTCTGTTTTTCATGCAATAAAAAGTGTCAATACAAAAAACGGGGAGAAAACACCAAAGCAAGAAAAAGATGTACATTACTGGCAAGTTTCAGACACTCTACTTGGCACAGAATGTCATACGTAGATCGGTCCATTTTAGCTGAAAACGAGAATGGTAGGCTCTGAAATGTTTGGCCTGAAAACTTGGCTTTTGAAACTCTTGCCTCTTAATACCACGACCCCCATTTTTGAAGGGTTTTTTTTTCACTTGTTTGCTTTTTGTAAAGCCAGACTGGTAAAATGACCCCATTGTTCCATCTGCAAAACGGCCGCTGGTCCCAGGCCTGCTCGCAATTCCTCCAGTTTGACATCTGATGCCCTCCAGAGAAGAGAGTTACTGACAAATGGACAGTCGGATTTTTACAGCATGCTGTTATTAAAAAGCTCGGCACGCCGCTTCGCAGAAAGCTGGTTGGTTCTTCCGGCGTGCCGGAGTGTCCTTCCCCTTAGAGGTGTGCATGCGTCGCGAAGGGAGCAGGGAACCAAGTGGCACATCCGAAACCAATGGGTCCGTTTCAGGAAAGCAGTTCGTCTTCCTCCACATCTGGCAGGTCGCTGCTGAGCTTCAGGTTGTCTTCGCTGCCTTGCTTCCTGCTTTGGAGGAGAAAGGAAACGCACGTTGAAACGAGAGCTTTTCCTGCTCCCAAGGTGAACGGGGGGGGGGGTTGCTACGTATACTCTTAACACGTCTCTGCCATCGTCCGCACCCTTCCGATGGCTCCAATGTGCCAGGAAGTCTCTATGATGAACGTGGAGGTCCATGCAAGCCGTTTGTGATGCTGCAGCCTGGAATATCAGGGCAGCATGTTCAATATACACAAGGGGGCCCTGAAGCTAATGTGCTCCGTACGTGCAGCGGAGCCCGGGGGAATCTTGTCTTGCAGGCAGTTATTTCCCAACTGCATGACACAGAAACAGGCAGGGATCGAGGCCCCCTCGATAGCCCCGTGCATATCAAACGGTCCATCAACCTGGTCAGTTTTGCAACTGCGTTACTGTTAAAAAAAAATGAAAAAAGATCATGCCGCACGTTTTGGGGGCAGGGAAACCCAAGAGTTGAGCATTCCACGTAGCCGAAGCGGGCCCCATGCTCTTCCTTCCCATGCAGCAAGGGGAGGGGGTTTGGCCCCAAACTCGTCGCGTTAACAGACAAGACGGGGAGGGAGGTTGGGATCATTAGGCAATCGCAAACTTTACCTTTGACTGAAGTAATACTTCACATTCCCCGATTTGTTTTTTCTGGAGTCGTAGGGGAAAGGTCGGGAGGGAGGGGGAGGAAGACGGAGGAAGCGGACGTGAGAAGACACGCACGGAAAAAAGAAATCGGACGGCGTCGGCCACCCTTGGGTGGAAGAGCAACGATGCAGAAGTGCCTTTTTAGATAAGGTTCAAACAATGCAACCGGGCTCTTTTTGCAGCAAGAACTCCTTTACCTATTAGGCGACACACCCCTAATGTAGCCAATCCTCCAAGAGCTTCTTACAGGGGCTACTGTAAGCTCTTGGAGGATTGGCTACATTAGGGGTGTGACTCAGGGCTCTTTTTGCAGCAGGAACTCCTTTGCCTATCAGGCGACACACCCCTAATGTAGCCCAATCCTCCAAGAGCTTACAGAACTCTTCTTACAGGGGCTGCTGTAAGCTCTTGGAGGATTGGCTACATTAGGGGTGTGTCGCCTAATAGGCAAAGGAGTTCCTGCTACAAAAAAGAGCCCTGCATAAACCAAAGCAACAGAACTGCAAACAGTGTAGTCCATGTGCCCCCAGGTTTCGCTACTGGGTTTAGGATTTGGCACTGCTTTAAAAAAATTCATGTTCTATCGAAAACAAACAAAACAGCAGGTTTCTAGCCCA